TTTAAATCATTACTTACCTGGTAAAGAAGCCTATAGGTTCGGCTCAATAGGAATTTAATTTCAGATTGCGTTGTAGACACGGGGAATGGAAATTGATCCCAAACATTTCAGGTCAACCACATGTTGATAATTTTGTTCGTCTGATGGCCAGATCCGGGGAAGCAGGAGGAGGATGAGGAGGAGAAGGAGGGAGAGGACAAGTCCCAGCCCCGCTCCATACGGGACCGCCGGCGGCCTCGTGAGAAGAGGCGCTCCACTGGGGTGTCCTTCTGGCCCCAAGATGGGGTTAGTCTTGCACATGTTAATACGGACGAGGGTACTGATCCCAGTTCAGATGGGGTTAGTCTAGCACATGTTAATACGGACGAGGGTACTGATCCCAGTTCATTTGGGGTTAGTCTCGCACGTGTTAATACGGACGAGGGTACTGATCCCAGTTCAGTTGGGGTTAGTCTAGCACGTGTTAATACGGACGAGGGTACTGATCCCAGTTCAGATGGGGTTAGTCTAGCACGTGTTAATACGGACGAGGGTACTGATCCCAGTTCAGATGGGGTTAGTCTAGCACGTGTTAATACGGACGAGGGTACTGATCCCAGTTCAGATGGGGTTAGTCTCGCACATGTTAATACGGACGAGGGTACTGATCCCAGTTCAGATGAGGTTAGTCTCGCACATGTTAATACGGACGAGGGTACTGATCCCAGTTCAGATGGGGTTAGTCTCGCACATGTTAATACGGACGAGGGTACTGATCCCAGTTCAGATGGGGTTAGTCTCGCACATGTTAATACGGACGAGGGTACTGATCCCAGTTCTCTAGACCCACCTGCTGGACGTTATTCACTAATCAGATTTCACATTCAGATTTCTCTCATAAGAAACTAGACTAGTGCACCTCATTAAACACCTGTGTGTAGCTAGTTGGGAGTCAGACATTGATTTGCTTCCTTAGAATAAGTGTCCCAAAGCTCCACCTGACATCCTTGTCTTTCAGAGTGATGACAATTACCTGGACCAGTCTGCAGACTCTGAAGAAGGCAGCACCAAGAATGAACCTCAGGTAAACTAACACCTGTGATATCACCTGCTGTCTCTATTCAAACCTCCAGAGAAACAGGTCAACTTACTACATGACCATGTAACTATAATCACCTATTGTCTCTGGTCAAACCTCCAGAGAAACAGGTCAACTTACTACATGACCATGTAACTATAAACACTTATTGTCTCTGGTCAAACCTCCAGAGAAACAGGTCAACTTACTACATGACCATGTAACTATAAACACTTATTGTCTCTGGTCAAACCTCCAGAGAAACAGGTCAACTTACTACATGACCATGTAACTATAATCACCTATTGTCTTGTCAAACCTCCAGAGAATTGTTACAACCAAGCAGGTTTTTCTGCTTTTATTTGATTTGATTGACCTATTTTGGCCATCTTTGGAACATAAATGATTCCTCTCTCGGCTTACTTTGGGATTTAATGATTATGCCTTTCCTGTGATTGTCCTGTTCTGGAAATGTTGGAGAATACTCTCCAAAATAGTTCAGTATGTTTTAAAACAAGCCTCTAGCCTCCAGAGAAAGGAAGAAATTGGTGTAATTTGTTACATTTGCTTACCTTATTTTTAAGTTGGAATTTAACTATCCATTGTACAAAAAATACAACTTTCTAGTGGGTGTACTTTATTGCATGCCTTTGGAGAAAACTGGCTGCATGTACAACCTCACATGCATGAGTCAGATATATATCTCATGCATATATATCTGTCAAGTGCAAATAATCCAAAAATCATTAAAGAATAATTTCAGTACCGACTTGAAACCTGGTTTGGTTGTGTCCGTGTGAGCGTGGAGTGTTTCCAATCTGAGGAAGGGGAGTTCACTATGTAGTTCAGCAGAGCGGCACAAACAGCCATGTATCCTGGTACTTAGCTAGGCACTTACTGCATATTGGACACAGTGGGAGGAGCCGGGCAGGCATGCTTTGTTGTTGGGGCCAATCCCTGACCGGAACACCCAATAGGAAATGGTCCATTATCTCCGGACGGAGAGGAAAGAATTCTGGATGAGCGGCTTTCTCCTGGGCCAGTTGAGTTGGGTTTCTCATCTCTTACTCCTTTACCCTCTGTATGCATTTAACAGTATTACAATTGGCTGTGTTTTTTTTAGTGGTTAAAGTTGTTGACATTAGGATTTTAATGACATCCTCAGTTTCTCATTTGCATGTAATGTGTCATTCTTTTGCAACAGGAGTAAGTTAATATATATATATATGTGTGTATATATATATAGATAGATAGATAGATAGATATAGATATGATATTACACATTTACAGAAGTAGTTACATGTTTTGGTCTCTGTGCCTTTGGTCTCTTTGCAAATCTGTTTTCAACCTGTTGTCTGCCACCCCATCGGTATATTTCTATCTGAGATAAATGCTAAGTAAACAGTGCCTTTCCTGGCAGTCAGTTTCTTTAGCTTCAGGAACAAAGCTTTAGGCTTGGACCTCTGGCCACCATCTGGCTTTTTCTCTACCCCACTGTGAGACTATAGTGGAGGCAGCAGGACCTAATAGAGGCTGGGGATTTGGGGCAGGTTCTGGGGCAGTGACAGGCTTGGCAGCTATTCAGGAATGTGGAAGAGCAGAAGGCTGGTTGCAGTTCAGAAGGGTTCTGTTGTTGGTAACACCAGAAAGAGAGGCTCTCGAAGTGAAGAAGAGGAAAACCATTAAGCAGAATTAAAAAAACAAAACCCAAGGTGGTTATCGTCTGAGTGTGCTTGTAACGATCTATTAGGTGGTCATTCCAAACAGAATAGTGGACAAAAAAGGCTTGGTACAAATAGTGGCACCAAAACACATTCTGATATGAGTACCTTATTATGAGTACCTTATTATGAGTACCTTATTATGAGTACCTTATTATGAGTACCTTATTATGAGTCACAGTTTGAGATGGTGCTAGAGCTCCTTTACTCTGTTCTGTTGACCTGCTTCTTTTTAAAAAATTTCCACCTTGAAGCTCACTTGTGTCATTATCTTTTTTTCACAGAGTGACCGACTGTCCAGGTACGTACTAAATTCATTTTACCCTTCAGATGTGTCCCCAACAGTACCTATGTAGTGAATGACTTTTTAAAACTATTGCAACGATGTAAGGAATAGCATCAGGGTCATTTGGTCTTTTATTATCCCATTACCTGGAAGCTCATGCAAACCTTGCATATAGCAGTTTATATATTCCATACAGCTGGTATGATACCTGGAGAATATACCGTGTTTTGTTTATCTTACAGGAACGATAGCACCACTTCCTCCTCAGACCGCTATGACCACCTGGGTACCCGTGGCTATGGCGAGGGTCGACGGTCATATTCGAGCAGGTTGGACCGAGACGACAGCACTGACTACAAGAAGGTAGATTATTTGGCGTTTCATTGGCACTCGCCTACGTTATAGTCAAAATCGCTTCACACTGCATAACGATCGTTACCTCTCCTCAGCTTTATGAGCAGATCGTAGCTGAGAATGAGAAACTGAAGGCTCAGTTACGTGACACAGACCAGGAGCTGACTGACTTGAAGCTACAGTTGGAGAAAGCTACACAGGTAATGTGCTAAGGAACTTGTAGCGTTAGCATTAGTCATGTTTTCATGTAGCATTAACGTGTAGAATTAGCTTGTAGCAGCCCCCGAGTACTTCCATAGTATACTCACTTTAGAACCTGGCAAGGGGTTAAATTTAACACCATATCTATTCATTTTAATTGACCGGGCATAATCACAGTTCTCAGAATGGCCAAAATAATAACCTAACACATGACATTTGTGAAGGTGATGGGACGATAGCTAGCTAGATGGCTAAATAATCTTCATGAAATCATGTCCAGGTCTGTCAGCTGACAAATGCTAAAGACCTTCTCTTAAAATATATACCGAGATCGCACAAACTGATAGCATGTGGTCATCTGTATCATCACCTGTTGGTCAGACTGCTCACCTGTAACTGTCGATTGCCTTGGCTTGTGTTACAGAGGCAGGAGCGCTTTGCTGACCGGTCGCAGCTCGAGATGGAGAAAAGGGTAACGATTATTAACATGTTTTATGTCTGGACATTTTTAATTTGTTAGATCATTGCCCTGATTTGTCTTTTACTTCAGTAGTCTCAGAAAATTAATGTATATATGTCTGTAGACCCTTAAAGCAGTGTTAGAATTGTCTTGAACTGACTTGGTAGTGCTGGTGGTTAACTACATCACGGTAACCGTTGCCAACTGGTTTATGTCTGAAGGTTACAAGCAGGCACCAATTCCAACTGGGTGGTATGGTCTTATAAACCTGACTACTCTCTCCAGTCTACTGCCTCTGTTGCTGGCTGTTGTCTCACCATGCCTGTTTATTTGGCATGGGCTGTGCCAACCCACCTGAACACAAGCTACCAACCTACCTTCTATCACATGTTTTGAACCTTTTTTTAAGCCAGTGTGTTGTCACTTGTTTTCCAGGGTGTGTGTGTGCGTGTGAGCAGGTGTATATATTTATTTGTAAACGTGTCATCTTCTGCATGTGCTTGTGCCATTTGTCTTGGCGAGTATTTCTCACCCCTAAAAACAGCCTCCTTTGACTTCCATTACCTTTAGGACTGAGGCGGGAATCAATTCAACATGTGTCATTCTCAAGATGGACAAAATAATAACCTAACACCATCTCAGAACATCTTGTTTTACTCATCCCTTCTGTTTCTGTGTAGTCTGCTTGAAGGTCCTGTTCTAACCAAATTCCTGATCATATTCCATATTCCCTTAAGTAATCTGACCTTTATATATTTACTGCTTGGGTCTCTCGTTGTCCACTATGTCAGCAGTGTCCACATGTCATGACTGCATTGTATTAAGACAACAGAGCTTTTAACAAGTTCATACTTAACATATACAGTAAATCCCATAAGCATGGAGACCCGTAGCCCTGTTAGGTCCATACACGAGTGACCTGTAGGTTTTAGATTGGTGGTTGAGTGCATGCTTTGTGTGTATGATGTCCTGGGTTCAATCCCCAGCTTTTCCACAGGTCAGCGTTGCAAATGCAAATTTGTTCTCAATCAGCCTACCTGGTTAAATAAAAAATCAATAGGTTCTTCTGGCTTTGACCTGCTTCACAGTCATGCGTGTGTATCTCTCACTTCTCTCGCTCTCTCAATGAAGCTGTGCAACCTGCCTCCTAGTTATCAGGCGTCCACACCTCCCCTCCACCTCCCCCTGTGTACCGGGTCTTACTATCAGAGTTCTGGCCATGGTTTGGTCACGAGGTGTGACGTCACATAACTATAGCGGTGTGTGGAAGCCTGTGTGGTGTTTTGTGTGTGTGCGTTTTTCCTCGTCACATTTCACATGGTTAATGGTTGTTCCTCCCCTGGCTGCAGGAAAGAAGAGCTCTAGAAAGGAAGATCTCTGAGATGGAGGAGGAACTTAAGGTACTGTCACTAATGACTAAGCCATCTGGGATGTCGTGTTCTGGGTGGGTTTGTGGCTGGCTGTCAGGGACAAGGACAGCAGTCAACATTCATGTTGAATTGTGGATCTGTCTGTACTATATAAACATGGTCCGAACGTTTCAATGAACATGGTTGCTGCACATTATGTTTATTTTTTGCTTAACAGCTGCAGCTCATTGTCTATGGCCCAATTAAATGTCCCGTTTTATAAACTCTGGTACCGTCAAGACTGTCGGGCTCTCTGGTTAATTTCAGCAAGGATGTGTTCTGTCTGAGTGTGTTTTGTATTTCTCAAATTTTGGGTCGCTATAAATCGACTGTGTCGATGTGCAAACTGTTCCACCCATGGAGATGTCAGATTGGATGTTGTTCTCAGGAACAGGAGAACTAAATGTGTCATGTCAGTCGGGCGTTTCTCCTTCTCAGTGAAGCCATCATTGAGTTGTGTTCGTCTCTAGGTTATAGGACACCCAGTCTCGTTCATATCATTATATCCTGCGTTATCTATTCTCTTCTGCTACTCTAGATTGCTGTCTTTCCTTCATGTCAGCCTGCCTGGAAAGAACTTGTCATTCTAAACTCTGTCCCATTTTCCTAACAAACTCTCTTTCTTGTAGATTCTTCTTCTTTACCTCTTCTATATAATTGTCTTGTCCTTCACCCCCTACCCTCCTATTGGTGCACATCTTTCCCTCTGCCTTTAGCTGTCTCTCCCTCCCTCTCTCTCTTCTTTGTCTCTTCCTCTCCCCCTGTCACTCACTTCTAACTCCCTCCCTGTCTCTCCCCTCTCTTCCTGTGTTGTGGTTTTCCTGCAGAACCTCCCCCAGGTTAAGCAGGTTCAGACTCTCCGTCAGGTCAAGGAGCGGCTGCAGGCAGAGAACAGGGCCCTGGCCCGAGTGGTGGCCAAGCTCTCCCAGTCCGCCTGCAGCCAGCTGCCCCCCTCCGTGGACCTGTAGCCCCGTCCAACTGTTCCTCACCCCCACACCCACCCTTCTCATGCTCCATTCGCGCTCCGCCCGCGCCCATAGACAGGCAGGTGTCCAGCCGCCCAAATCTCCACCCCCGAGACCCACTGCCTCCCCAGAGCTCCTTGGTTTTCATATTGGGGAGGGTTTCCTGTGTTGCTGGGCACTCGCCTTTTACAGTACACACGTCTTGCAGCGTGGGATACGCTGGCATTTTACGCTGGCATTTTTAAAATAAATTCTGGTGTTACATTTTTATCGGATGTTTTCTTAATTTCAGCCGGTTCACATCGACCGCATTAGTTCTTTATGGACTAAACATTTGGCTGTACTGTAAAAGAGAGTGTCCTCTTTGTTCCACTTTACCCCCCAGTGTGCGGTCTTGAAGCCTTTATCAGGGAGTGATGTTTAGTTTGGCTTGTTTCTGGCTTCTTTGCATGACGTGGCTTCTTTTGCCGTCATAGCGGCGGACATTGTTTGAGGGAGGACCGACACGTCATCCATCTATTACCACACCCAAAATAAATGTGCCGTTTCTAGATGACATCTAGCACGCCTTTGGTTTGTAGGTTTCCGCCGGGTCTGATAATAATCTTCCCATGGGAAGTGCGACGTAGAAGTGTTTGTCTGTCTTAGTGCTTATGATTCGCTGTTCGTTACATAACATCGGAGGTTGTATTGGTTTATTGTAACCATGTTGTGTGGGTTCGTATTGAACAGTTGCAGGTTTTGCTGTTGATCCGTCTAGTTCAGTTGTGGTCGAATGTGGGTGTAGACCGCCCACCGTGTTAAATGACATAACGTTAAATAAGGAAATGAAATGCACCTTTAAATTGTAATATACGGTAGTTTTTTAAATATGTTGCGTAAACATTTTGAACACTTTAATCCACAAGTATGAATATTGATTAAATAATAGTTACAGCGGTAGGTTATCTCCGTGTGGCATAGTGCTTTGATGATATTTTAGACTGTACACACGCTCTCTGGTTAACGTGCTGTGGTGTGCTGTGAGTCTGTCGCCTAGTTAACGGTTATACTTTATCTTCTTACACGAGAAGAACAGTAATTGGAAGTCTTTTTAAGGCCAGGGCTGGGTTGGCACCGGCTCTGTTTAGATTAATCCAACCTAAACTTAAGTGAACGGTAAGTCTGCCTCACAAAGTCCCCACACTCCACATCCAGAAGGGACGCCAAGACAGGATTTGACGTTGCGTACGTTTGAATTGTGCTCCTTTAATTTTTGGCCCTGTTTGCGTCGACCACACAAGCCCGGGTGGGGTTTGTGCTGCTGTGCTGTGTGTGTTTGAACGGGGGTTTCCTGGCTGCCAGTGAGACAGCCTTTTGTTCTGCATGGCTCTTTATGCAGAATTGGGTGTGCCTGCTCCATTCCGACACTGACAAATAACAGGGACACCTGGTTGATGAGACACAGTGACTCATCAGAGTTGCTAATGCTGGTGCAATTAACAGTTCCTGGGACAGTTTTTACATGCTTTAGCTCTAAGCCTGTTTCCGTCTCTTCTCTTCCAGACGCTACCGGACTTGAAAGCCGACAACCAGAGACTAAAGGATGAGAACGGAGCTCTCATTCGAGTCATTAGCAAGCTCTCCAAGTAGAACAGGCCCCTCTTCCTCGCACACTCCCCCCATGGCAGTGACTAATGGAATTGCACATTTCGGTATTAATTGCAATGCTCATCACCAAGATGAAGACTCTCTCCTCCCCCATTAGCCCTCCTCTTCCTCACGCCTGTTCTCCACCACAGCATCATTTCCATCCTCGCTCCATGGAGCCATTATCCACTTTAACCCGTGGCTGCTCTCCGTATGGAACAGTGAGTTCACGTTGGCTTGGGACAGGGTCGTAAGCGGCATGTCAAAGCGTTCGCGGGCGGGCGGGGAAGCCTCGACTATTTAACCAATACGCCTTAGTTGTACATAAAAAAAACACTTGCATCAAATCTTGGCTGTCACAGATGAACAGTTACTCGACACCTGATTTTATTTGTGCCACGAAACCTACTACTTTGTTTTTGTTCCTGTTCCTGCATAGAAGGGTTTTGCGGTTTGCATTTCCTCCTTTCTGAACCCCTGCACCCCCCCCCACACACACACACACACACACACTCACACACCCTCTCTCCTTTCCCTAAGTGCCCGAAGTCCAGCCCCGTTTTTGGATGCTCTGTCTCTCAGCAGAAGACTTCCTTACTTCACGCGGTCTTGGTGCGCCAACCCCTTCCAACCTACACCCCTTCCCCCCGCAGGCACACCCCACGTGCACGTGCACCCACGCCACCCAGCCCCTTTTCCATTTCTCAACCTTTGTGTCTCCCTCAGAGGGAAATGGGATTATTGCTTCACAGAACCGGTGGACCTAGTGGAATTTAAGCTTTCACTGTATGTGCAATATGCATTTATTTCTTATAAAAATGCTTTAACGATGAGTCCATCACTAGTAGGATTTTTACTCCTCCTCCTTCCTGTTGCTCACCTCCCCCCCCTCGGCCCCTGAACCAGATCCTGCTTTCTTTTTTTTAAGTTTGTAGTGTAGTCGTTGGTTTATACTCTGTACTCCTCACTTCGTTTTAGCAGGTACTGACTGATGCTGTATATACCTGTATGTATTGTTTGAGACCAGCACATGGCATGCATTTATGGTTCCCGTCTGTTACTATTAAAAATATACGAACTTCAGAGGAAAAAATGTGTGTTTTAACTATTTTCTTCATTTATAGTCTAAGGCATTGGATTACAGTAGGGCCTCTCTCCTAAAGGGAATGGCTGGCAGTGTTCAGTGCTTTTTTTCTTTCCGGTTTTAAGTGTTCACTGTAAATGTGAGATACAAATAATGTTATTGCTTCACTACATTTCATACGTTGTATTCAGTATCTTTGGGCGAGCGCTGTTTTTTTGTTTTGTTTTTTTTCTTTTCGGAAGCTTTCGTATTAGCCAAGGTGATGTCACTAAACGAGCGTAGGTATTGCTAACCCAGTTCTTTTTACGATGTCTACATGCACTGTCAAAATGCCATGCGAGGAGTCTTTGATGTCAGCCCCCTTCTATAAAGTCCATGCATCAAACACATTTTATGCATTTCAGTGGCCTTTTAAGAATACTGTAGTAAAGGGAAAAAGTTGCTGTTGGACTGTTGGCCATCTCCTCCTTTGCTTTAGATTTTAATTTTTTTTATTTTGCAATTTCCCATCCTCTTGTAAAATAGGTGTGGCTTCATACATGTGAGCTGTGCTGTGACTACCAACCACTGAAGAGTTAATTAAAAATAAACTTGTACATTGTAAGGCTTGTGTTTTTATTTTTCTCCTTTGTTACGTGTAGTGGATATGACCTGGTTGCTTTGAGTAGAGATTCATGTCAGACCAGGACAGATTTTTTTTTGTACGTGCTGGGATTTGGACCACAAACTACTTCTAGAGGATAAACTGTAACATGGTTGTTATAAACATTTTCAGTTTCTAACAATCTTTTCCACCAAGTTAATTATTCTGGTGGCGCCACCCAGGGGATGAAATGGGTTACTGACGCTTTCGGAATATAAGGTGGACAAGCTGTTATTGCATGCAAAAGATGTGTGACCAAATACT